GAACTGAAAGATCAATATTATATTGGGCAGCCGAAAATCACAATATATCACAAAATCGATTTTCCCCCACACCTGTACTGACCAGAGAAGTACCAACTATAAAGCTACTAGGAAGCCATTCTCGTTTAGTTTTGTCATATCCCAAAACTGCAGCCTGTCTAGAGAGCCCAGGAGTAAAAGTTTTTCAGTGTGCAGAGACATTGGCTGCAAAGGTGAGACGAAACTGATTCTCAAAGAAGATTATTAGTTTCCCCTCGGTTGGACCAGAGCTATAACTTGACTTGTAAACAGATTTAAATGGTGCTTGTATGAACCGACAATATCAAAGTGTAGCTAACTAGACATTTTGAATTACAGATGGACTTTGTCTAAATCCATCTGGAATTACAGACAGTTTTTTTTTTTTTTTAAGCAGCGATACATAAAAGAATGCAGCTTTTTAGGAGGATATTTGTTCAGGACAATGTTTCATTACATGTGTGGAAGTACTCCACATTAAAGGTTTTCCAGATGAGGGTATAACGATAAAGTTCTTTTTCTCACTACCTGTTGAGAATTTTTTAAGTAGTAGGAGCTGCGATAAAGTAAAACATCAAACCCCTCATCTGGGAAACTGCTGTCGCTGCTTCAAAAAAAGCAAATGATAAAGAAATTAAGACCAGGGTTGTAAGGCTTATGTTGAAAAAAGACTGACCAAAATGGTCTCCGATTTCAGATAAATAGTCCCCTTTCTGTGACAAAAAATCATTAATTGTTTGGATTTATTTATTCTGTCAGGAAATATATATGTTTATGAGGATACGTGTTATTCTCTTTTTAAAGTAAGGCGTTGTAAAAATTAAGACTTGCAACAGGAGGACGTAGGTTTAGACTTAGACTTGCCAAAGGCAACTCAAACCTACCAAAAATAGGTTTGGTATTAATGTATACAGCATAGGAATGCATTCTCATACTACTAAAAACAACCTGATACTTATTCAGAGCAATACCATTTTTATCAGCTGTACTTGATCCAAGTTAAAGGTAAATGTTTTAAATTAAACAGTGATACAAAAAAACAGAGCTCTTCCTCAAAGGAACTAAATCAATATTCACTTCATGTTAACAGTCTGAGTGTCACCCTGGATAGCTTTCTATCTCTTATGTCTCACATCAATAATTTCACTTTGTTTGCATATTTCCATTGGCCTATTATGAAAAATCTCTGTCCTTCCCTTCATTCTGCAGCCATACCTGTTCTGTCTTGTCTGAAACCATCTCTCATCAGACATCCGTAATACTGACACTTCACCTGTTTAAATCCAGACTCCAAACACAACCCTTAAAGACTCTTTATTCTCTGTGATTTTAACTTTTGTTTGTAAAGTCACCTTGAGTGTTTTTAAAGCTTTCTAATCAAATGTATTACTATCAATATTATTACTAAAAGTCGTTCTTTGTCTCCTTAAAATTTAATAGACTATGATTGAAACTCTTCATCATAACTACGCCTTCATCTAGTACCCATATTGGTAATCAATATCCAGACTACTGAAATATAAGAACTCTTTAAAGGCTAATGTATGTGTGTCCGTAATACAGTGCATGTAGCGGTGTGTTTTTGTGAGTCTATATGTACAAATTTGACACTTATTACTTCTTTAATTTCATTATAAAAAACAAATGATCCAATGCTTCTAAATCTATGACTGTTACTAGAAGGATTACTGTCAGTTTTACAACTGAAATTTAAAAATAAAGAAAACAAAGATGTGTGCTAACCCTCATTAAATCCATGGGGGTTTTGACTGGCTCAGGTTCTGGCTCCGTTCGGGTCAAAGTCATAACTTCCTGCTTGTTTCGCCCCTTACGTTTGGACTTCTTCTGGGCATCTTTGGTGGCGTCTTGCATTTCTAGGAAAACAGCATTTTAAATTTAGGAAATCACAAATGCAAAGGAGGTACATATTATTCCAGTTATGTTTTTATGGTTATTTTGTAGATTATCTTAATTGTTTGTAGGTCTTTAGGTTAAAACTGTTTTTTTTTTTTTTGCATGTTTCTTTAACAAAAATTCAATACTGAGCCGATGTTTATCCTCCCACCTGTCGGTGAAGCAGAATCTTTGAGAAGAAAAAGACCTGCCGTGTCCGCACTTCGTCTTTGACTTTTCTTCAGTCTGCTTAGGAGCTCATTTATAAACTGGCCCTTTTTTCCATCGGTACCCTGAAGAAGGTCTCCCACATACTCTTCAATCTCCTCAGGTTTCTCAATGGAGAGAATGTAACTGGGAAGCAAAGAGTTTAACACATTTTAAAAAGCTGACAGTCTGCTCATCATTTTTTTTTTATTGCTGCCCTTCTAAAAGATGTTTTCTGCTCTTTGATGATAAAACAATGGAATTTAGACTGTAAGTGTTTCTAATTAACTCAAAAGTGAAGAAATGTAGTTAGATTTCAGATGCACCAGTGTTACAAACAGGAATGTTACCAAATTAGATATCATATCACCTGGAGTACAGTGGGTGTGTGATAGTTTATTGTGATTTAAAAATTAAGTTTTCCCCATGAAAGTTGTAGAAAATCATAATAGTGATATATTAACATTTTCAAATAACCTATATTCATATAAATCTTTAATAACTTCAGAGTTCCTATTAGAGTTGAATAAGCTACTAAACTACTTATTTTTTTTATTGATAAAAAAATATCTTGACTCTATAAACTGTTTTTTTATTACTCAAATTTTTACACTTAAAAGGAGGAAAAGTTTATTTACTTTTCACAAGTATAAATATTTAAAACACACTAAAAAGAGTAGGGAAAGCTCAGCACCGAGGAGCTAACTGTTAGCTGACAGTTAGCTTTTAAACAAACAGCTGCTACGAAAAAAAGAAGAAAAAACAAAAGAAAGAAGAAAGCCTGACCTCGCAACACTTTTATATGAGCTAACATAACGCCCACTGTCGTTGTGTCATCTTATATTAAACGTTTTATATTAACAGCCTACTTAGTAGAGCAGCATCATTACTAGCTTGCTTTCAGCTTGTGACAGGTAGTTCAAAAAAACACACAAAAAAATTAAAGCTTACTTGACAATGTCTTCTGATGCCTCCAAGCCAAATTGGTGGTTTAACTGGTCAGCACACCACTGCAGCAAAGCTTCAGTCATTTTACCCACAAAACAAATTAGGCGAGTTGAGAAAAATTGAAGTCAAGGTTTATTTCGTGATCAAGTTTCTAGCCGGTACGATATCAATGGTGCACACGGTGTCACACTCTTCTGCTCCGACTCACTCTGACAACTTATCAGGCTTTTAGTATTTTCTTGTCTAGACTTCTTCATAGTAGCTTCCTTGTGCCATGAACGACTTTTTTCCTTGCATTGAAAATATGCAAATCTCTTTTATTATTAACCAATGTCGCTCTGCGCCCGCGTCATGTTAACATCTGAGGACAAACATTCACACTAAAATCAATAATTCGTGCCTATTTTAAAGGAAGGCGCAAATTTCTTCTTAACCAATATTCAGACTTTCAGGATGAAAAGAAAACGTATTATGTTTCCCAATATCGTAAAATGATTTATGGTGTCATCTCTTCTAACCCACTTTACTGTCTATATACTTTCGAAAACAAAGAGAAAAAAAAATAAAGGCCACTAGACCCTAAAAATAATCTTTAAAATAAAGGAAAAGCCTTAGTTGGGCTTTTTTATATGGCCACAAGATGTCAGTTTTGTTCCAGTTTATTTTAAGTGGGTAAAGGTTAAGACTTTATGTGGGATTATTGTCTAATAGAGTAATTTTATCGTATGGTTTCCGAACATCACCTTTTTTTTTTTTAAGTTTTCAATCCCTTTTATGTTTTTTATTACATATTTTGTTACCTTATTACCACATGCATTTTGCTGGTATGTGTGATGAAACAGCAGGTTTTGTAATAAATGGATGCTTTTCAAATTTGTTTTACACATTTGGTACAAAGGTTAGGGATAAAGTTGCTTAGAACAATATAAGTTATTAAGAACAACTCCAACTTTGACATTGTATACTTTTATATGAAAATAGAAAGAAAGGGATCCACCAAAACTGAGAAGTTTAAAGGAACATCTTAACTCTTGATGAGCTGCAGAGAAACAGTTTAAAATTATTAGTGTTTCTACTAAACTCAACAAGTTTTGATAATAGAGTAGCAAGAAGAAGGAATTTGATGAAGAACAGTGATAAGAACTCCCATTTATTGTTTCTTAAAAGACACATTGGGGACTACGGAAGAGGATTAGGGCCACTGGAAAAAAAAAAAAAGTTAACTGATTTTTTTTATTTTTTATTTCAGTATAGTATGGGAAAAAAGTCAGAATTCTGACTTTATTCTCAGAATTCTGACTTTTTTCCCATGTTAAACTGAAATAAAATTAAAAAATCAGTTTACTTTTTTTTTTTTCAGTGGCCCTAATCCTCTTCCGTAGGGGACACATCAAATGTGAGAGAAGATATTGTTATCAGAGGGCAAGAATTTAACACTTTAGCACTCACACAAAATGGTAGGAGGAAAATGAACACACCACCCAACAGTTAACTATGATGGAGGTATGTGGACAGATCAAAGCCCAGTCAAAGTCCAGAGCTAAATTTAAAAGATATTTTGGTTCTTAACATTACTTTTTTATTTCTTACTCTCATGGTTTTTATCTTCAGATATCTACAAAAGTTTAGATTGATACTTAAATTTTGACATTGAATATAATATGTGTAAATGCTTTGTGTCATTTTCAAAGTTAGATTATTAGTATGTAAACAAAAATAATCAAACATACAGAGATTAAAAAATAATGTAATCATTCTGAAGACAAAGTCCGGAAATTGAATCAGGGTTCAATGAAAAATTAAAAATAGACAATTGAAGGTGATACCGTATATTCGTAGAAAGGCAATATTTTTCTTCTGCTTTGTATTTTAATTAATTAACAGCTTTGTTTAAAAATAATGACAGTGTGTTAAAAAATTAATAAAACTCACAATTCTCATAAAACCCTTTATTTTGGACACACTACTACATCAGAAATGCTATCAAAATGTTGCTTCAAATCAAAGTTAAAAAAAAATCCTAATCAAATATTTTCTCAGTCTATAGAAAGTAAGGGGAAAGAATATTATGTTGTTTAGTAAAATAGGACTTTCATTTTTATTCATGAATTTGAGTATTTGACACTGAAAATGGTTGAAGATACAGCTTTGCTGAAAATCTATGAACTAACATGCAGCCGTTCAGCCGCTGTTTTGAACTTCTTTTTATTTTAACCCAGGACGCTTTCCCCATCTTTGATAATTGTAATGCTTTGCTTATTTTCATTCTCAGAAACAGGATGTATGATCTAAAACCTGATGTTTTCTGTTTAATTAAAGTCCAAACCATGGGCAGTCTATTACATAACATTAATCTGGTTTGTTGGGGTCTCTGCTTTTATGAAGCACCTAACCCACCATGCTCAAGTTTATCTGACAAACCGTATATAGGAGCCTTGTTCTGAACCCAAACAGAACGATGTTGGTCTTATCTGTTCTAAATACATTGGAACATTATTTGTTAGGAAAGTCATTTAGTTTTTCTAGCATATTTGTGCTTATTCAGTACTCACAAAGGAACTGTAGACCTTATGAGCTTCTCCCTGGCCTTTTCGTTGCTATTTTGACTAATCTTTGATCCTTTGGACTTATATTTTCCCATTTCTACAACAACTTTAAAGTATTAGCAGTTAACAACAGACCAAACAACTTAAACAGAGCAGTCTGTTGCTCTCTGCTCTTCTTTTTACACCATCCCCTTCTAAATCCACCTGTTTTCAAAGATGAATGTAGAAATTGTTAAGCGGATGTCTAATTCAAGTGGTAACTCACCCGTCCTGCAAACAGGAAGCCTGCTTTGGAGGAGTGGCAACCTAGTGGTTAGGGCATAGAGCTTTGGATCCTGAGGTTCTGAGTTCAAACCCCACTCCCACAGACTGCAACTGTCCCTGAGAAAGACCCCACACTGCTCCCCAAATGGATTGGTTAAATGCAGAGAATGCTCTGTACTTGTGACAGTTTAATGACAATATAACACTGGAAAAACGGCTAGCATCATGTTCAATACTTGGTCTCACTGACTGAACACAGCATGCAGAGCCCATGGCTCTGGGTTTTCTATTTACTACAGATACAAGTTAATTATTTAGCATGTATAGATGAAATCAGTGATATGTCTAGTCTGTAACATAGAACTGCAACTGTTTATATGTATGTATATATCACTAGGAAGAAGTCACACAGAAAAGCAAAGTTGCATTCGTTGCAAATAACACTGGGGATACTAATTTGATTTATTATCAGACGGTACAAAGGGATAACAGAGATTATTTTCTTCAAAGTGTGGGGCGGTGTTACATAAAATGCAGAAGATTATCATAACTATAGAGTAGATATTGATGCCAGCTTTTTTCCTTTACAGTTTCACCGTATCAGCCTCATGTGAAAAAGTCTTTGGAAATGGCTTCTACAAAATTGGGTGCCGACATGAGGATCCCAATGGTGCAGAGGATGGTGAAGACTGAGAAAGCCATGAGACAAAGCCTGTCAATGACAGATGCTGCAAACTTCCACTCGTTGCACACTGTCTCATCCTCGTCTTGGTCACGGAACCGTTTGGCGATGTAACGCACCTCATCCAGGATCTTTGCCAGCTCCAGCTCCATGTAACCCGTGTTGGAGCTCTGACTCGATGGGAGGAGCAACTCGTCCTCACCGGTGCGTCCAATCAGCCGCCCGCATAGGACTCCAGAGTCAGGAGAGGTGGCAGCCGTGGAGCAGTGGATGCTCTCCAGGCCACGGACGCCCACATAGAGCATGTGGCCGTTTGTAGACTGGGAGACAGAGCTGCTGGCGTTGAGGTCCATGCTGGTCAGGCTGCTCCGTCGGGTCTTGTTGTGGCAGGCTGAGCGCACTCGATCCTCACCGGGGCGCCTCATGCGCAGAAACCAGGCACACCAATTCAGCAGGATCACACGGGTCTACCAGATCACAGAATAATATGGAAAAATATCATTACATGAAACTTTTGAAGGACTTCAGCACTAGATTTTTGTTAGCTAAAAATCATTTTTTCAAGGACCTGTATTTTAAAGAGATAATAATGATAAAGATGCTGGTCACTCAGGCTAAGAAGTCCTCTGGTGCCTGACTGCATGTTGTTAGGTAAAGAAAAAGGAGACAAAGTCACTGCTGTATCCATCTAATGCCGTAGGTTTACCTATTATAAAAGAGTTCTTTGAATATACATTTCTGTTGCATTCAGGATATTAATACTCAAATGCTTAAATTTAGAATAGAATAGGAAACAGAAAATGCCTTTATTGTCCCACTATGGGGAAATTGCGGTTTTACAGCAGCAAAAGGTTATAGTAGAAATGGTTACACAATGTGCACCTTATAGAAGTGTATAAAACAAATAGAGTATTGTACTGTAGAGTGTTTTTACAATATAATACTCTGTATCTGGAGAAAAAAAAATCAATAACAGCTATGGACATTTTTACAGTAATGGAAATGTAAGAAATAGCAGCAACCCTAGAGATGTGCATAAAAATGACAGCAGCATGTTATTTAACTGACTAAACCAGAAACTGTGCAAAAGCAGCATGAATGTAACAACTTATTGAGGTTGTTGGGAACAGTGGTTATTAAGTCTTCCAGCTGCTGGGAGGAAGGATCTGTGATAACGCTCCCTGGTGCTTTTAGGGTGCAGCAGTCTGTCACTGAAGGAGCTCTCCAGTTCAGTAACAGAATAATGCTTAGGGTGGGAGACATTATCTAACAGAGATGTTCATTTAGTTAGGATCCTTTTGTTTCCCACCTTCTGCCCTAAGTTCAGAGAGCATCAAATCAAAGAGCTGAACTTCCTTTTGAAGGAAGAAATTTGAAATAAAAGATACTTTTTACTTGTATAATATTATAAAATATATTTTAGGCTTTCTATTGACTATAGAGGGTGATCTGATCCCAGTTTGGGCTTTGTTAATCTACTCAAATCTGAGATTATGATCCCAAATCAAACCAGAATAAATTACATCCTGTTGTGGAAACATCTTACAGATTTATTCATTACCTACATTTTACTCGCTATTTTTTACCTACATTAAAAACTTGAATATAAATGCAATTAATATGTATTTCACGTTATACTCTTATAAATAATAGAATGGCTCAGCCAAACACTAGATAGAAATCAAATTAAATTCTCTAGCAAAACTTGAAGATTGCCTTCCAAAAATGGCATTTGTCCAGTCTGCCAGAGAGCGAGCTAACTTGGAATTTAGATCTAGCAGAAATGTCAGCCTTAAAATGTCCAAAGCTGGGAGATGACAAAATGACCAGTAAACCCTTCAGGCTGAACTATGATCAAGCCTGTAGTGTAATTTTTAGGACATTCACATGTTATTAGTTATTGAGTCTGAAGAAAAACAAATTCAAAAGGAGGCATCAAAGCTTTTTTATGTCTCATATATCTGCCCCAGGGAGAAAGGTCTGCTGCAGGTGATGTAAATACATCAGAAACAGAAACCCCTATAGCATAAACACATTGTCCTCTGCATTCCTGGCTTGAGGGTAGAAGAAGGTAATCTGAGAAAAAATACCAACTGTTAAAATAATTTAAACTTTAATGAACATGGGCCACTCACCCATTTTGGCATCTTGCCTCCATCAGGGTCATGGTGGTGATATTGCAGAACCAAAACAGTGGCAATCACAGAGAGACCAACAATGACCATGGTAGTGGCAAAGTACTCAGCTGAATAAAGAGGAAGTAGAGAGTCAGAGGGTTTGGTTAGAGGATACATTAAAAAAAAAAGCACAACAAAATATGTGCCAAAACAACTACACAAGGTGACAGCAGAATCATCAGAATATGACTGTGTCTAGTACTGGAAGTCTGAGATGTAAAGTACAGAGATAAAAGGAATGAAGAGTCCTGTGTGGTGTCCCTGTACAGCTAAAACCTGGTCAAACATCCATATTTTTTGTGCTACAATGATTTGATCAACAAGAAATCGCTGATCTTGTCATTTGTTGATATCTTTATTTTTCTCTGTACTGTAAATACAGGCCAATCATTAGTGGACATCAATTTCCTATCAGAGCTAGGGCTGAAACAATTAATCGGATCATGATTTATCAATTATTTAAATTATCATCAATTAGACATATCTTATAAGACTTGCATCTGCAGCTACAGTATTGGGTGATTTACGCCTTATTTTTCCATCAAACCAAACATATTCACAACTTTAGAAATCGACAAATCATATTTTCAATTAAACACAAAGCTTTATTGGTACATATGTGATAAATTGCGGAAAAGTTCACAGGGTACAAATACTTTTATAACATTTAGTTTTCTCTATATTCAGATAGAGAAGCTTTTCTATGTTTTGTTGATCATCATTTAGGATGACTCATCTGTGAATAAGAAGGAATGACCAAATCCTGGATAGCTGCTCAACTTTACTACAGAGAGAAACAGTTTAAAAAAACGATGCCTTTAAAACCATGCCTTTATACTGATAGTGGGTGACAACCATAGCAGATGTATTCAGCTTCAGCCGGACTTACCTATTAAAGGCACCGAGTCTGATGTGGCAGGCATAATCTCTGCAACCAGCAGCATAAAGACAGTGAGGGAGAGCAGAACCGTAATGCCTGCAGAGGAGAGCAAGTCAGCATTAGTGGAAATGAAGAGCATTTAAACTGCTTCCATAATAATATACTGTAGGTGTCATGATCCCTTAAACCAGCCTTTCTGGTTAATTAATCTTGTGTGTTTTGTAAGGATTTAAATCTTAGATCTGAGCAGCAAATAAAATAATTCTTCTATTTAAACAATGTTAATTACAAATTATAGACTTTAGTTGCTTTAATTTGGTTAAGATCTTTTTTAAATCTTAAAAAAGCCAAGAGGATTATGGATTTAAACCTCTTGAATAGATGCGTTATGATTGCTGTCTTTAGGTGTTTATTTTTTAACTTGAAAAAAAGATCTAAGCTCTAAAGGCAGTGTTGCTTTAATTTGTGTGACTTTTCTATGACTTTGTGGATGCTGTTCAGGACAGATGTTTATAGGCATGGATGTTCTATCATTGCTGTGGTTTTAATTGTATTTTTAAACTTCTCCTTCAGGATGGAAGGTTTCTACAACAACTGCAGATCTTTTTAAAAGCAACAGCTTATTGTGGCTTTTCTCTAATCTACACAGCAGGGATTTATTTACTTCATGACCAGTCTGACTAACTTTAACTGATCTCAAGTTTCAGAGTTTAAGCTTCAATCATCCATTTGCTGTTTTGAGGGGATAAAGAATAAAAAGAGCTGAATACCTTTGTAATTATTCTATCCACTTTTTCCAGAGCATCACTACCAATGAGGGAAATTATTTACTCAGGGTCGAATGCCTCATGTTGACTGACTGAAACACACTTCTACTCTGTCAGTCATTTCTGATCAAAAGTCATTTCTCTAATGGAAATGTACGTTTTTCCATGAAACAGCTGCCATTTTACCACTTTCTTGATCACTACCCTTTTAGACAGCAGCAATGTAAAACTAGATTTACTGTAGATACATAAAATACGTAAAATTATGCCCCAGCAGCTTGTGGATCATAGAGGGCTTTAGCCTTGGTGGCTCTTAGATTGGTCCTTAATATAAAAAAAAACCTCATTTTCATTTAGGGCTTACATCCTGGATCAGGTTGTTCAATTATTATTATAATTTTTTTATTATTATTATTCATTATTATTATTTATTATTATTATTATTGTTAAAACTCATACACATTGTGAGTTCCCAGATGACGGTGATGCAAAAGGCCCATTAAAGACACGTTAAAACTAATAGACTAATGTAAAGCTTCTGGAAAGGTAAAACCATTAGAAAATGTACTGTATGCAATATGCTGAAACAACTCAAATCAGCTGAAATAATAATCTCAAGAAGAAGTCAAATATCTATGCTAAATTTTACCTGAAGCTTGATCAAAGTACAGTTTGGCTAAAAAAACACTGATTAAATACTAAAACTATGTGTTCTGACCCTCTGCTGATTAGAATCAAAGAAATATTGAACAAATAATTGCCATTATATAAAAGAAATGTTTTATTATGTATAACAACTAAAATGAATTCTTAAGTAAATAAAGAAGTAAACCCATGTTGTGTATCTGAAGTTTTAACCAGAACTGTTTAATCTTAGCTTAATCAATAAAACATGTCAAGTTTTGATCTACTAAAACTTAAGAAAATTGATAGAAATAAAAGAAAAATTTAAATTTTGACTCAAATTAGTGAATTAAATCAGAAAGATGCAAAATAGACTTAAAGTAGTTTCATTTAAGGAGCATAAAATTATATCTTGAATGCTCAGTTATATCCACTATCTAAAATATTTCTGAGACACAAGTTTTACTTTAACACATAACAGTCATTTTTTTTTTCATGTTTGTAGACTACATTTTTTTTTCTATTTCCTTTATTTAACCAGGTAAACCCCGTTGAGATCAGGATCTCATTTTCTAGGCGGACCTGGGCAGAGATCTGCAGTACACTGCAACCTGGTTACAAAAAAAAAATCAAGTAATACATATGCATAAAATATAAAACAATAAAAACATTTAAAAGCAGTGACACTGTTTCATAGAGGCTTGTTGTCTATCTTATAAGAACCGCTCGAAATAAGTCCAATGAAATAGTGTCTGACATCTTGAGCTCAGACTGGAGCTGATTCCACGCTGTAGGAGCCAACACACTAAATGCTTTCCTTCCTTTATCAGTTCGAACACGAGGAACATGTAGAAGAATAAAGACATTGGAGCGTAAATGTTGGGATCTGGAGATCTGCCATCTTTCTCCAGCAGAGAGCGCCCTGGGTCTCCTGAGATGAAGCCACCTACACACCTGAGGCTAATTCACCTGATTAGGATACCCACTACTTAAGCAGCGGCCAGATCTGTCTTCAGCGCCGTAGTGTTGACCAGTTTTGGTTAGCGGAACCTGAGCCTCAGCTTGCATTAAGAATTTCTGCCTGCTCTAGAGAGCAACCTGATCCTAACCAGCCTCTGTCTTCTCTGCTATTAGGAAAACCCGACTGAAGTCTGTAGCTCTGGAGGAGCTCATGTTTGGAAACCTGCCTGCCTGCCCAGAGAAGTCTGAAGATCCTCAGTCTGAATCTCCCTGCTAGTTGTCTGGGGAGAACTAGGAAAACAACTCAAGGTCTGAACCTCGCTAGCCTGAAGCTAAGCTCTGCCGCTGCTGAGCTCATTGCTGAATCCACAGTCTCTGGACCCAACCGGTTCCCTCTCTCCACCGATCAGTCTGAACCTCATCAAGTACAAATCTGAATCTAAACTCTGTCAAGACATCGTTGCTGCCTGGCTAACCAAACAATCCCTCTCTGCAGATTACTCTGTGATACCAGTCCCGGACCAGTACCAGAACCTGTACAATCATTTACTCTGTGTGTACTTCGCAAATAAACTGTTAAACTTTTATTCGGTTTCATGTGGTGTTCTGCATGTGGGTTTAATCACAGAGACCCATCATGACAGTAAAAAATGTGAACTACTAGAGAGAGATTAAGTAGTGTGAGTTCGTTTCATTCCTCCTGGCGGCTGTATACATCCCACCCGCCGCTGACGCACGTGAGGCTCAGCGCGCGCTGTCGGACCATGTCTTACATGTGGAGCGGACTTTTCCTGACTCTCTTGTTATTGTGTTTGGTGACTTTAACAAAGTAAATCTGAGCCAGGAACTACCCAAATACAGACAGTTTATTAAATGCCCCACCAGAGAACAGAACACTTTGGATCACTGTTACACAACAGCAAACAACGCCTATCGCGCCATCCCCCGTGCCGCCCTCGGACTATCAGATCACGTGATGGTCCATCTCATACCCACATATAGACAAAAACTGAAGCTAGCAAAGCCTGTAGTTAGCACAACTCCAGCAGTTCTCTGCCAACGACTCTGCCACAGTGTGGAGGGGCCTCAGGGCTATTACCAACTACAAGCCCAAAGCCCTCCGAGCTCTGAATGACCGGGCACTGTGTGAAAGACTGAATACACACTACTGCCGTTTCGACTGTCCCAGAGCCGTTAGCACCTCTCTGGTCTCTCCAGCCACCCCCTCCTCCCCCAACACAATTGAGGCCACTCCATCAAAGGCCCCCTCAATCCACCCCTTGTCCCCCCCTGCCCTCTGCATCCTGGAGCAGGACGTGCACAGACAGTTTCTGAAGCTGAACACCCGTAAAGCTGCTGGCCCTGACGGCGTTTCTCCCTCCACCCTGAAACACTGTGCCAGCGAACTGTCTCCTGTCTTCACGGACATTTTTAACATCTCCTTGGAGTCATGCCATGTGCCGGGCTGCTTCAAATCCTCCACCATTGTTCCTGTCCCGAAGAAACCAAGGATCACAGGACTAAAAGACTACAGGCCGGTGGCACTGACGTCTGTGGTCATGAAGTCCTTTGAGCGATTGGTTCTGCAACACCTAAAATCCATCACCGCCCCCCATCTGGACCCGCTGCAGTTCGCCTACAGAGCCAACAGGTCCGTAGACGACGCAGTCAACCTGGCCCTCCACTTCATCCTGCAGCATCTGGACTCCCCAGGAACCTACGCCAGGACTTCAGCTCTGCCTTCAACTCCATCCTCCCGGGTCTGCTCCAGGACAAGCTGTACCAGCTCAACGTGCCCAGCTCCCTCTGCAGGTGGATCACTGACTTCCTGACGGACCGGAGACAGCACGTGCGGCTGGGAACAACTGTCTCGGACACACGGACCATCAACACCGGATCCCCCCAGGGCTGTGTCCTTTCCCCCTGGCTTTTCTCCCTGTACACCAAATGCTGCACCTCCAGCCATCAGTCCGTGAAACTGATCAAGTTTGCGGACGACACCACCCTCATCGGGCTCATCTCGGACGGTGATGAGTCTGCCTACAGGAGGGAGGCGGACCGGCTGGTGTCCTGGTGCAGCAGCAACAACCTGGATCTGAACGCCCAAAAGACAGTGGAGATGATCGTGGACTTCAGAAAGGTCACAGCCCCACCGTCCCCCCTTGCCCTCACAGACAGCCCTACCCCCATCTCCAACGTGGAGTTTTTCCGCTTCCTGGGCACCACCATCACCCAGGACCTCAAGTGGGAGTCGACCATCAGCTCCCTCGTCAAGAAGGCCCAGCAGAGGATGTTCTTTCTGCGGCAACTGAGGAAACTTAAGCTGCCAACCCGGATGTTGGTGCAGTTTTACACCTCCATCATTGAGTCCATCCTCACCTCCTCCATCACCGTGTGGTACGCTGGCGCCACCGCCAGGGACAGATACCAACTGCAGCGCATTGTGCGCTCCGCTGAGAAGGTGATTGGCTGCAAGCTGCTATCACTCCAGGACCTGTATGTCTCCAGGACCAGGAGGCGTGCAGGTCGCATCACAGCCGACCCTTCTCACCTGGGACACAGTCTGTTTGTACCTCTCGCCTCAGGGAGGAGGCTACGGTCCATACGGACCAGAACCTCCCGCCATAAAAACAGCTTCTTCCCCTCTGCCATAAGACTCATGAACACATAACTATATGTCAGACTCCATAACCTGCCCATGCCATTTACACTGCTGTATTGCACACTGCTCTATTTGCACTACCTTGTACATTTTACTTTTTATACTTTTTATATATTTTTTATTTATTTATCCATATTTTTATCCTAAGTGTATATATTAGTATATTTTTTGCATGCCTTATACCCCAGTGTTTTTAGAGATTTTTATAATTTTATTTACCTATTTCATATTATATGTTTCATGTTGCACGATTGTACCATAAAAAATTCCTAATTGTGAACTCCTTCACTAACAATGGCAATAAACCCGATTCTGATTCTGATTCTGAAGTATGTTGGTGTTAGTCCAAGGAGAGATTTATATATTAGGATCATCAAATGATTGTTTCTCCGAACACTTAAAGGAGGCCAATCAGCTTTTGCATACAAATCATAATGATGTATCAAACGTCTACTACCAGTTATAAACCTTAAAGCAAGCACAATAAGTTCTAACCATAAGTTCTGTCATTTTTTCTTATGTTTCATAAGAAATTAGCAGGTTTTTCGTTTGGGTGCTTCGTTTGGGTGCTATGCCTCCCAACAGATGTTGTTTATTAGTTATACTGTGAGCTGGTTTTTCTTTTTCCTTTTTTGGACATCGAGTCATGTAATATTGGATGTTCACCCATGGCACTGCCCACTTTAGAAGCAGCGTAAGAAATTACATCCTATACTGAAGGCTCATTAGATTATCAAAAGCCGTTGATATAAAGCTGATATTGCTTCCTCTTTCTCTGTTTACATTATTAAACTGACACAGTGATACAAGTTACACAACTCTCAGCATAAACAAAAAAATATAAATTTATTTTACAAAACATCAAACAACATATTCTCCATATATAGTGGATGAAGAAAGTGGCAATGCATGTGGTCTCCAAGCATGGCTGCTGAATTTCTCTTTTTAACAGTTGTTTATTTTTGTAATAACTCAGCAGAGGTACACAGTGAACTGTTCTTTTTGCAGAGGAGGTTTTATCAGCACATAGTTTTCCCTTTTATGGTTGTGTTGAGGACAGCAGCAGCAGCAGGGGAAGAGGGGTAGGAGGCAGGTTTACATCTACCCCCAGTAGATATAAACCTCATGGCACAAATGCTGCAATCAATTCTCAAAAGTGTTCAAATTTCTGAAATAAAACTGACTTGGAGTTGGCAGGATGATCTGTAGACTCCACTCTGACGTGCCAGCACACAAGATGGTAGCTTTAACAGAATCTATAGCTCCTTAGAGAGCCATGACCTGTGATGTGAAATATGTTATAGAAAAGATCTCAAACAGGATCTGCATAAAAGTCTGCCATCAACTTCAAACAGGCGAGTGTCACTTCAGATTTCCTCCAGCAATCAACACATCAGAGGGAATGTATATGAGGGCAAACGCACACACGCAGGTCCACACATCAGACTCTGCAGCACGGTTAATGATGGAAACCAGCTGCAGCATATTTGAGGAAGCTGCATAAATCAACGCCCTTCTCTCCCTCAGACAGCATTCACTATACACACACAATCACCACACAGCCATAAAAATCTGGCTTCATAAAACCTTAATCACTTATTCATAATGCTCCGAGTTCAACTGTGACAACTGAGACGAAGCTGCTCTGTTTTCCTGATCAGACAATTCAGTTATCCAGCCAGCATTAATTATGTGCTCGGTTCACAAGGCTACAGAAGAAGTAAGTGAATAACAAACCAGTGTTTCACCCTGAATGGGTGATTACCCAGAAGGCAAGTGGGATTAAGATGTTTTAGATGGAGGGAAGGGGAAGAAAAAGGTGTTGGCTTTGAGTTTAAAAAGCTCTGATGATAAATGACTTGATGAATCAATGATTTTTAGCCAAGCAGTTACTAGCAGGAGCATATCACAGTTATAATTAGTCTGGCAGGACGCCATCAGATAAAATAATGAGGCGAAACAAAAAAGCAGCACTAAAGTCTAATAGGAGTAGAAATGTATAATACATAGATACCAATGCAGGTCTGAAAGGCTTAGAGAATCCAGACAGAATTCTGTCTCTGGGGTGGGGGTCCAGTTTCCTGTTCTCCACACATTGTCTGCACCAAAATTTTTTACTGGAAGCGTGTCAAAGAACACCTGTGCAGCTGTTCAGAATTTAGATGGATGTTGTTTATAAAGATTAGCGGAGATGATTTCCCCTCTTTTTTAGGGGTCCTGAAATTCTCCCTATTTTTGCGGGTGCAGAAATGTACACAGTTTTGAGGATCGGCTGGCCGAGGTAGTAAGGTAAAAGGAAGATTAGTGTGAGGAGTCTTCAGGGTGATATGAATATTTTGCTCTCCTCCTTTTTCACCAATCTTAAAGCTGTCTCCTCTATCAACGTGTTGTTGTTTTCTTTTGCACAGGTGTCACATGAGTTACAGTGGATGAGACTGAGACTACAGTGGATGAAAATATTCTTTCTGACATGATTTGTGGACATTAAGATCTAAAGAGAAGCATCATCTCCTGGTCAGACCCTGTAATTCAGGGAAAGGTTGGAGTCAGAGTAAAAAAATATGCACGCCCAGGAGGAGGCCAGTGGCTGGAAGTTGGATTTTGCTGGGAGTTGGAGGGAAGTGAGCTGCCATTCAGCTGGCGTTTGACTGGAAAGGGTCATTTTGATTGGCTGCTACTGTATGGCAACAGAACTGAAATCAGAGTACCAGGTAAATAAATCAGGTAAGAAGCCCCCCCTTGTTTACCCATAACTACATTATTTAATTATATTAACAAACTTCACATGTGTCCTATCATACCAAACCTGACAAAGGGACAGAGAAGAAAAAAGAGCACAAAACAGAAACAAGAGAAGGACAAAGATCCTTCATGCAGAGAGAGAAAGAGAAAAATAGAGACAGCAAAAGCAAACAACCAACAGTGGATGAGACTTTTAGCAGAATGAGTTTGGTAGCAGAGCTTTACAGGAAGTGGGAAATTTTAATTACTTGCAAAATGTGTGTAATCAGCTTAACCTTGTGTTGGTCTCAATTTTTCTATCAAAACAACCATGCTCTGTAATGCATGGACACCATGAAGGTGCACTGTGATGTTAGTGGAAGTCTCTTTATGACCTGTGAACTGTGTGGTGGAGCCTCTACAAATCTGGATTTGTTTTCAGGCACATCCTATATATGCTTGTTTGGATTACGATCTGGAGAAATTGGAGACATTACACATCTGAAACTCCTTGCTGTGCTCTTCAAGCCAATCCTCAAGCAGTTTGGCTTCATGTCAGAGCGACCTGCACCACATAAAAAGGCCAAAGCTATCAAGCAATGTTAAGTCCATCATGACAGACCAGTGGCTAACCCACAGATTCTCCCATCGTTCTATCAGAAACAGCTTTAAATTGTTCAGCAAAAAACCTGAGTTTCTACCTGGAACCTTCTTTAACAAATACGAACCACAGCAGTCAGCCATGTAAACACAAACAGGCCCTCGTCACACTTACTTAAATCTAAAAATTAAAACAATTTTTACTTAAATATAATTTCTACTAAGTACAATGACAATATAATCAGTGTTATTCCATTCGTTTGTCAGTAGTCATAATGTTTTGTTAGCATGTTGGCCTTGTTAGCAGATTCTCCTCCGTAAGACAACAGCTTATAAAATAAATTTCATAGAAGCAACCATATTGAAGGCAGAGTATGGCATGCATTCCTTTTTAGATATATTTCTCCAAACAATATATTTCTGCATCAACAGATATTCGATAATGACGTTAAATTGGTCAAGCAATGTAGATCCTGGTATTTGTGAACCTTCAGTCAGAAATAACTCAATATAGAGCATTCCCTTCTACTGAGGGAAGACAGTAGAACATGGAGACAAACCGGGACCCATGGCTCTGTTCTAATTTAGCCAGTCTACTATTGACTGTCTTCCCTGAATGATGCTGATTGAATGTGATTCAGACTGTAGCAAACGCAAATAAGTCACAGCGTGAACCCATACTCTATTACAGCTCTGCAATGAAACAGCACAGGATGAGTGTGACACCACATGACAGGATGGATTATTGTTTTCAACTAGTAGATCTTGCCTGTCAGTCTTTTTTAGGTTCCTGTCACTCATGTGTTTATAGAAAAATGAGGGAAACAGGCTTTTGTATTTTTCCGGGCTAGCACCTTGCTCTATGATCATACTAACCAAAAACACTGCAGTTTATGTTTTGAGCATGGTTTTTAAACTATGTGCTACTTCTTGAAGCCATCATAAATATTTACTTTAGTAGTTTCTAAACTTGCATTAGATTGCAACACATAGTCATGCTTCTCACTTTCAGACCTCTCTGCAATATGTATGAAGGCCAATTAAAGCTGAACTTGAAAGGCTTCTAATAGGTTTTCTAATAGTTCAGCTCTGCACTTTCTTAAAGTTTGTGGTAAACATTTTCTACCTGAAGGCTTTTATAGAACAATTCTTCAGGGTTTCGCTTGTATGTTTGTGTGAGTGTGTGCTCTGGTTTCCCAAACCCAGTGAGATCTTTTCCCCAGAGTCGGCAGGCAGGAGGAAGACGAGCAGAGCTAGAGTGGAGATCAGGACGCACGGGATGAGCAGATTAAGGCCGTAGTAGAGGGTTCGTCTTCTCATCACCACAGTGAAGGTAATGTCCGGGTAGGGCTCATCGCAGCATTCGTAAAAACGCTCGTTTCTTCGACCTGGAACCTCTGCAAAGAAAAAGAAAACTCTCAAAACAAGTCAATTACAGTAAGTAAAACGCCACAACAGGAATGTCAAGGTATAAGATGAACAAATTTTACGAAAGAATTCATAGGCTACTCTTTTACCAACAAGGTCCCACTCTCCATTGGCAATGTAGCCAGTGATGTCTGCCTCCACCATCTTTAGGTCCAGGGACCAGCCTCCATATGTCCAGGAGCCAAACTTCAGGTCACATCTCTGGACATCAAAAGGGAACCAACGGACATCGATGTAGCAGGTGCTCTTAAAGATACCTTTTGTGGTGACAAGCAAAACGGGAAGAGTGGCAGAGCATCACTTTAAAAACGACAGACTGGTAAAGGGACTAAATATTTAAACTATTCTGTTAGTAAAACATTGGTCCTAAATAAACAGATGTTGAAAAAAACGTGGCTTTTAGTCACAGTATTCTGTCAGAAAACAGAAGAGAGAGGAGAAGAAAACACGCAGCAAGAGTCCAAGGCTAGGCATCAAACCCCAGATGGCAGCTTTATATGCTGAAGACTCTGCATATTAAGCATCTTTACCATAGTATGTAACTTTTACAATTCAGCTGGAGAACAATCAACTCTGCTTTAAAATGTTAATGTGTTTTCAAATCTGTTATCAAGTTTCTGTAATGATTCCTGTCTGTTCCTGCCTGTGAAGCTGCTATTTGCAGTCCCATGACATCACTTCCTGCTGCAATTGCAATCAAGTCTGAGCTGTTACACCTGCGGCAGCTCCTGTTACTGGGAGTTACTGCACCTGGGAGGAGCACTATGTATTTTCAGCTTTACCAGCAGGTAATCATTTAGAATAAAGCCATTTGTCTGTGTAAAAAACAGAAGAGAGAGGAAAAGAAAACACGCAGCAAGAGTCCCAAGGCTAGGCATAATCTTTGTTTTGACCCCCCATATCTGTCTCCTTCCTGTGTTCTCCTACCTGCCTTGCCCATGAAGGATACTTCTGTTGGCTTTTGATCTCTGTCAAATTGTTTATCAACCAAACCCGAACTTCATACCAATTTACTTGTAAACCTATTCATACATTCTCTGAATGTTCCGGTGGCTGAATTATTGTGTCTCAATATTCTACCCAGGCATTACAGTCTCAAAATTGAACCTTCATTGGTACACAGTATATCTAAGATCAGTACAATGAATCTTACAAAGTGACCTAATAGGTCTTTTCTGGTATATATTTTTTTTTTTTTGCATTCTTTAGCTAAAGTTATAGTTTGCAGAGAGGTCAAAAATAAGTCCAAAGTATGTCAACAGTACAACGGTATCAGTTGGCACAGCATTATGTTGAAATGGTTCAATGAATACAGTTATCAGTGCTTAGAGGTGATGTGGGGTACCATTTGGAGATTTCTCCAAAGCTGGACAAGGAGGCGGTCAAGGAGGCTGTCCAGAGGGTCCCAGCAACGCGATCAAAGATATATTCATTTCTGGTTCCTTCTGGTTCAAAACGTGAAAAAAATCAGTATTTGCTTTATGTTCATACTGTAAATATTCTAGATCTGATAAGTGTTCATGTGGTTATGTTGGAACACATAACCCCCCCCCCCCCCCCACGCCTGGGCTCTGCCAGCTGTCACTTACATGATAACAGTGGTCATCTTATTAGAAGACTGGCAGACCTGCATGGGGCGAGACCCTAATATAACTAAAGTTTTGGGCCAGTTTGCTTTCTGTTTGTGTTGTTATATGTTTTGACAGATAATGATGTGTGCTTCAGATTGGTGGAGGCTTTTTAGCAGGCTTTTGCTCCTGAGGAAATATCCTACACTCTTCAAAGTTCACAGCCATTTTCAGATCTCCCCAAAGATGTTTATTTAGATTCAAGTCTGGATCTCGGCTGTCTGCAGTCCTGATTTGTGGACTGCTGCAGAGATCGATGTCCTTCTGAAAGGTTCTCTTCTCTGCACAGAGGAGCTTTGACAAAGTGACCACAGGGTTCTTGGTCACCTCACAAATTGACCGCTCAGTTCAGACAGCCGGCCATAAGAAGAGACCTCTTGGTTCCAAGCTTCTTCCATTTATAGGCCACTGTGCTCATTGGGACCTTCAAATCAACATAAATATTTCTGTAAACTTCCCCAGATTGGTGCCTCAAGACAATCCTGCATCAGAGAGCTAGAAAAAAATCCCTTTGAGCTCATGCTTGCTTGTTGCCCTCTGACCTGCACTGTTAACTGTGGGACCTCATGCTGACAGGTTTGTGTCTTTCCAAATAATGTCCAATCAACTTAATCAACAACAGCCTAACTCTGTATAATCTGCAGACTAATCATAAGGATGATGAGGTGAAACAGCATTAACCTTTTCTTAATTTAGAGCTTTTACTTTTGCCACAATGTCATTGTTATAATTTTGTATTTTGTGTAGAATCCACAGACTGTCTTCTAATCAAAATCAACAGGTGTAAAAAAAAAAACTAAAAAAGGTTATTACTTATTCTTATTTTTTAGATTTTTTCTTCCTGGAAAATACCTGTTTGTTTTTTTTTCATTTACTGGGTGTGTTTAAACAATTGACTAATATATCTCAAATTCAATTAGACTAAACACAAAATACGGGAAAGTTAAAAAAAGAAAAAGGAACATCAATGCCAGACCAACAGGAAAGGCAACGGAGCGGTTTTATTCTGGGAAAACAGAGTCACAGTTCAATCCATCATATGAAGAGCCTAAAAAAATTCAATGCGACAACAGGGTGAGAGTTTAGGTCTTCAGTAGAGCCAGACTAATTTCCATTAATTTTAAAAACAGATATGAGACGCTAGCAGTAAACAAGATGTTTTCTCTCTCCTACTGTCATGAAAATGATAAAGATGAAAACGGAATGGGATGTGATAGGTGGTAAACAAACAGAATGGCTCTTATTTACTGCTCTTATTTTCTAAATGCAGGGAGACTTCCATGATTTGTTTTTGTGTCCCTTCTACATATATTTTAATCATTGGAGTGCATGGAGCATATTATCATTTTGTGCCAGTTTTAAATGATGGTCAATTTGGAGTAAAGTTGAGAGGCAATTTGCTTTTGCCAGATATAATCAAAGCAGAATACATTCAGTGATGGAGCTATTTACGTTGGTATTGATTAAGATGCTGCAGCAGAGCAGGCCGAGGGTTTTTGCATTGTAAGGGGTAAAGTGGGAAGAGGAGCCTGCCAAAGCGAAGCAGTAATTACTGGCTGTGTCAGGGAACCCTTCGGTTTCAGTAAATTCCTAAATGTAAATCAGTGTTTGGACATGCATGTGATGTTTATGGCTTTCCTGAAACTGATGTATCTTCAGCAAGTCTACAAGATGTAGAACAGGGAAAGAGCTTCATCTTTAAGAGTATCGCTCAAAAGATACATCTGTGCTGCTGCAGCTATGAATGTATTCATGGTAATCGGTAACAACTAACTGTACCTCAGATTTGATTCAGTCCACTTTATTATTATATGTGCCGATAAGAGCAATGTCGAAACCAAAAGTCCGTTTATTCTTCTGATCATTTTCCTGTAAGTTGACAATAACTTCCAAAGAAATATGATAATCTAATTAAAATCAAAATAACTCCAATTGGGGAAAAAGTTAAAACAATTAAATGCGGTCTGTTTAACATAAGATCGCTTTCCCCTAAAAGTCTACTAGTTAATGACTTGATTTGTGATAATCACATTGACTTGTTTTGCCTTACAGAAACCTGGCTGCAGCAAGAGGATTATGTGAGCATAAATGAGGCAACTCCTTCAAGCTATTTAAATTTTCACATACCCAGAAGTTCTGGGCGAGGAGGAGGAGTAGCAACAATCTTCCAGTCTGACTTACTGATTACTCCCAAAACAATTAATACCTACAACTCTTTTGAACATTTAACCCTTAATTTCCCTGATCCAAATTTCAAGGCAAGAAAACCTCTTCTTTTTGTAACTTTTTATCGTCCACCAGGTCCTTACTCTGAATTTTTAGATGAGTTTTCAGAGTTCCTTTCTGATTTGGTATTAAATACTGACAGGGTCATCATAGTGGGAGATTTTAACATCCATGCTGACATTGAAGGCGATAGCTTAAGAGCAGCCTTTAATGCTATCTTAGACACTATTGGCTTTGTTCAAAATGTGAATAGTCCCACACATTCTCATCTTCATACTTTGGATCTTGTGCTGACATACGGCATAGAATGTGAAGAAATAACAGTATTTCCTCACAACCCTGTCCTCTCTGACCACTTTCTAATAACCTTCAGGATTACTTTAACAGAGTTCTCCTCCCCCAAAAGAAGGTTCAATTTTAGTAGATCATTATCAGATAGTGCAGTTATAAATTTTAAAGAATCTGCTTCACTTTCTCTCTCCTCTGTGTCGCTGAGCAGTGCTGCAGAGTGCAAAAGCATAGCTTATTCCCCTTCACAGGTTGATGATTTTGTTGATGGGGTTGCTAGTTCTCTGCGTATTGCCTTAGACAACGTAGCTCCTTTGAAAATGAAAACCGTTAAAAATAGAAAGCTTGCTCCTTGGTTTAATCCAGAGGTGCGTACTTTGAAGCAAAATGTTAGGAAACTGGAGAGAAAATATCGCTCCACAGGCCTGCGGGAGTCCTTCCTAGTCTGGAAAAATGGTTTAATGCTGTATAAGAGGACCCTTTGTAAAGCAAGAGCAGCATACTTCTCCTCATTAATAGAGGAGAATAAGAATAATCCTAGATTTCTTTTTAATACAGTTGCCAAACTCACCCAGAGCCATAGCTCTGTTGAACCGTCCATTCCACCTGTTCTTAGCAGCAATGATTTTATGGGATTCTTTATAAATAAGATTGATCTTATTAAAAACAAAATCATAAGCACTCCTCTATCCGCGATTGTACCTGTGGTAGTCATGGAATCTGAACCGGGTTTAGACTGCTTTGATCCAGTTGAACTTTCTGAATTAGCAAAATTATTGTCTTCATCTAAGCCTTCAACTTGTATGTTAGATCCAGTTCCAACCAGGTTATTTAAGGAGGTATTCCCTTTGAACTCCTCCTCCATTTTAGATGTGATTAATCTATCTCTGTTACAGGGATATGTACCTAAAGCTTTTAAGGTTGCTGTAATTAAACCTCTGCTTAAGAAACCGTCTCTTGACCCAGATGACTTGGTCAATTATAGACCTATATCCAATCTTCCTTTCTTATCCAAAATTCTTGAGAAAGTAGTTGCCAAACAAGTTTGCGATCACTTACACCATAATGAACTTTCAGCTCTGGTGAAAGTCACTAATGATATTCTCATGGCCTCA